AATGCTCGGTTCCTCCTCACTGCACCGCACGGTGACTTTTCAAAAGCATTACCTCAACCTGAGCCAACAACTCCGGTGTCTCCGAGTTTCTGTGGTTTCCTATTGTCACGCTTCTACTGAACGTAAAAACATGGCGACATGGCAGCCAGCACCGAGCCGACCCGTTCGATGTATGAACGATACGAATGGCAAATTCAGAGCTTACAGTCGCACTTCAGTTTGTTGATGGGAGTGATTACTGATTAATGTAAAAACACTTTTGAACCAAATAATCAATTTTTGTGAACAGATAACAGGAGAACTTACAGATGATTGCTTTTGGTAATAAACATTTTTAAATATTTCTCAGGGGACTCGAATGGAGTTGGTGGAGTGGGAGCCCTGTCTCATGTGGTATATATCATTTTTCTTTTGTATTTATTTTGAAAAATGCCAAAGTTTTAATATCAATATAATGAAAGTTGCAAAGTACTTATTGTTAAATGCCCCTGTGCTGTTATTTGTATGAACTTATTCAAAAGTGATTGGTGAGTATGAAGTACAAACTGAAGTCCACAGCATTTCATTGTCCTTTACCTTTTTGTCATATTGTAATTGAATGTTCTTTACATTCATTGCAGTGGGAAGATATGGCCTCCACAGTGGGTAGCAAAAGAAAACACCAAGAATTAAAGCAGTATTTTGTGGGCTGCTGTCTTTTCCTTTTTTATATATTAAGTTAATTTATTATCTGTTGTTATTTTAGTTGTTGTTGGTGGTTTCTTGCAGTTAATATGTCCATACTTCATGATCTTTGGTAATAAAATAAAAACATTTGAAAAGGTGTGACCCAGATGTTGTAATGCAATACATGCATTCTTACAGATAGATTTTGATTTACATCAAAAGAGGAACAAAACTGTACAAATACAAATATCTGAATCAAAGAAAAAAAGATTAAAGGAAATTACATAATTTCATAGTTGTATAATGTCTATAGGAAGCCGAAGTCACGCCCATCTTCTTCCGGCCCATAGCCCATAAGCATAAGACACAAAAAAAATATGAATGGGAGTCCAAATTATTTTCTGGTCCCAGTCGATTTCTGTCCTGGACTATAGATATGTTTGTAAGGGATTTAAATTAAAAATGTTCATGTAATGAGTTTAGAAAACCCACAAACTATCGTGCAATTGTTAGATTATAGGATTATACACACGCCTTAAAGACAATAAGAAACACTACAGTCGCATATGTGACGTCACGCTGTTTCTTGCGACTGGCGTGAGCAAGACCCACCATCATTCCATCGACGTAAGGGAAAGACTCGACACGTCAAAACTTTCCTCTCTGTCGATGCTTTTTAACTGCCCTTGAAAAAAAGTACTTGAGTGAAAGTTGGTAGCTAGTAACGCACTCTGGGCAGCTGATGACGCATATTGCTCGTGACAAGAGATTCTTAGCTGCATTTTCATTCTTTGCAAAGAAGATGTTTTTTAAATTGTAACATTCTTTAGTTTCTAATGTGAATAAAATGCTTTTATTTACATAATTGCATTTAAAAGAGCTCTGTTTTTTATATATATAAAACAGAAATAAGCGGTTTGAGCAGCTCAGTCCGTGATGCACCATCAACTTCCTTCCGGTCTGTTGTTAATAGCGTCCTTAGCAACCACCATAGCAATAACACTAAAACGTAGTGTTTCTACAGTTTTATGAAGAGACCTGAAAAAATGTACGTTGAAACGAGAAAACTACAAATCGAATACATGAACCAACTGAATACTATGAAAATAAAATATATATTTGTCGCTAGAAAAGTTATCAAAACGAAGCTAAAGCCACAAGCTATGTTAAGATATCGCAATTTTCCCCAAATATAGAAGGGATGTCCGCCATGTTTTCGGATCACGCTGGGCAGAAACTCGGCAGTCACGTGACCTAAAATATGCCCGTAGAACTGAATGGGAAAATTAAACGTAGCGATTCTACAATTTCAGAGGCCAAATTGTGAAATGGGTACGTATTGTGCTGTGGACCAACGTAGGACTGTCACGTTTTGGAGTGAGACTGGGTTGGTTTGCCGTCATATTTATCATACTAGAAGACATCCTGAAGAGGAAATATGTTTCTGAACATTAAGTTGCGAAAAGTACAACTTTGCTGGTTTCTATGCCAGCGTTTGGAGTGCTGAAAAGGCCACTTTTGTCATTCAGGGTGTCCTGTGAATTTCCTCACAAAAAGTCACTTGAAACACTATTTGCCGTCATATTGATCATACTAGAAGACATCCTGAAGCAGAAATATGTTTATAAACATGAAGGTGCAAAAAGTACAACTTTGCTGTTTTCTATGCCTTAAAACAGCGTTTGGATAAGTCATTAGGATTGAACAACTGAATGGACAGTAATTGTCTAACACAGAGACATGTGCATGCAGCGAATGACATAAATGTTTATGAATCAATGAACTGGGCCAGTGTTAGAGGATTAGTGTGAACAGCTGCTGTTACCTGCCTTGGTGATGTATTTGAATATGAGCATGTTTAAAGAGTTAAAATAATTATTATTATAGCTGATTGTCAGTCAAGAGCAATCCTGTCCTCATGTTTAGTGATATATTCAGAGGGAGGGGAAGAAAAAAAATGTTCTAAAACTCAGATTAAATCCATTTTCTCCACAAACCTCGTTGTGGTTTCAGTAATTTGAGGCCTAATTGATCTCAATGATCTGAAGACTGACGTGATCTTAATGCAGTGGTTCTCAAATTTTTCTGTCCAGCCCCCCTCGCCTTAAATAGTCATGAAATGAGCCAGTTTAAATTTACTGAAACTAAATATCATGAGCAGTCAAATCGTGCAGCAATAACCTGCTCAGTGATCAGTGATAGTAACAGGGGGGGCTGCCTTCAGGTTTGCGGTGGTTGTCTCATCAGTCATTGTTGACACCATGTAATGAGCAGTGGGGAGCAGGAGATCCTCACCTGCTGGATGTGGTTTCTTGCACTTGGTGATTCTGTTACAGGGCTCCAGTCTAACTTTTCCAGTTGTAGCACTGGTGCTACCAACTTTCTTCATTGGTCGCACCAGCTAATGATCTGGTCACCCCACTCCTTTCTACTGGTTCAGCATTGCCACAGCTATTAATGCACCATGCAGCTGATGAAAATCTGTTTTTCCAAAATGTAGTTATGTTGCAATGACCGTCAGAGAAACGAGCCTTGATATTTGTAAAATGTTTTAACCTTAAAATGTATTTATTTTGTCACAAGTCCTCTTCTGATATCGGTCATTAACTGGACACAGGCTAAACAATTGCTGAACATGCCCATGGGTAGCTGGTGCATTTTACAGATGTTCCCTAAACGCCTCACACGCTGCTCCGGCAGATGGTATATTTGACCAATGTTCCCTGAACGCCTCACATGCTGCTTCAGTAGATGGTATATTTAACCAATGATCCCTGAACACCTCACACGCTGCTCCAGTAGATGCTACATTGTACTGATGGTCCCTGAACGCCTCACATACTGCTCCAGTAGATGCTACCAGGTGTGTTTAGTGCAGCTCCTCTGACAGGGGAGCGACCAAACATTTGTTGGAAAACAGTGGAAAGCGCTATTGATCCATGCCGGTATAACTCCTGTGACAGGGCTACTGGTCCAGCTCTCCGTTTCTAGGGTTGGGTTCTATCTGCGTACAGGCCTACTAGGATCCTGTAGAACAGCTTAAGCTGGTGTCGAGGAAACTCGCCTAGCTTCTAACTGCCTTAATCCAGACATCTACCCCTCTTCTTCTAATAGTTGACCCAACTAAGTAGCCCCAATAGTCAAATGACTTTACTAGACATGCCTGTTGGTGGCAGCTTTCCTCTTAAATGGATTGAGCACTTGGTAAATTGCTAGGTTAAAATTTAGAGGTTTGGCACAACTAACCCCAGACACCACACAGTTTTTTATCCATAGCACATACACTTGATTACACACACACACTTCTGATAGGCACTTCCTCTTTAGCCCATATATGTGATACCTTTAGGATCTGAGTCATGTATTTGGTAATAGCAAAGAGCACAGTTTGGCAATCACAGGACACATGCTGGTAAAAAGAGGAACCATCAATTGCTTCAGCAATGACTTCTTACCTGCAGACAGTGGCCTCATATGACATGTCCAGACATGAGCTGTTTTAGGGACACTAACCGTTCTTGCTCTTTGACATTTTCACCCCTTCTCTCATCTTTAACTGTGCAGCTTTAATTCAATGGTTACACAAAACCACCTTTAATTCATAGCATTGTTAAAATAACCATTTCATATTTAAACAATCACCAGATGACAGCATTTCTTATCATAGAGTCCTCTATATTGCTTACGCCGGGGCAGTGTTCTTTGTTAGTGGCTGTACAGATAGATAGATAGATAGATAGATAGATAGATAGATAGATAGATAGATAGATAGATAGATAGACAGACTGTGTTATCTGTCTGAAATAGTGGCAGAAATTCTCCTTTGACGAGGCTCCAACAATAAAAGTACAACACATGTGAAAACACATTTAAGACACGAGCTCACAAAGCACAGACATCTAAAAGCAACAGCAGCTGATAAAATGTCCTGTTCAGTGTCTTATTTCATGTTGTTCGGCGGGGTGGTTATTGCACCCCCCTCATGCCTCTGCTGCTTTAAACATAGCTGCTTTAAACAACAGAGCTTCTCATTTAAAGGCAATCTGAGAGTGTAAACAGGCCAGCTCTTACAGGGGGTTATCATCTCAACTACACACTTTCTTGTTTTTGCCTCAGGTTCAGGTTTCTGAAAAGGAATGAATCGACCTCATTAAGAGCAGTGGTCAGAGCTGAAGCGGCATCATGTCCCGTATTGCAAATCCTGTCGATGAGTTCCCTGGCTTTATCAGCTCTGTCCTTTTTGTTTTCGATTTGCTCCCTCTCTTCTTCAGTGATAACACCCTTTTCATGGAGTCGGTCCAGCAGCTGGCTGATAGTAGCGTCTGACAGTCCCTTAACCAACTCTGTCCGAACTGCAAACAGCCACTCCGGTGGTGGGACTCTCTGCTCTGTGTCCCGTTTAGGATCTGGAAGAAAACGTGGAAGAAAAGCCACAGACTGAATAATAGCCAGCATAGAGGTCCGCTTATGACCAGGACACACCTCTACTGCTGCTGTCAATCAAACTGACAAGGACACGCCTCTCCACTCAACTGACACAAGTCTGTTTTTCTGATGTTTCCACATGGACAGTTGTTCTTCCTTACAAGACCAGCGTTACATAATTCGCGTCTAGAAGGGCCCAGAATTTCGGATTACGCTGCAATAGTGCACATGCTCAGAATATGCAGATAACCAGCTGTGTGTGTCTAGAACAGAGTCTTCCACATTGACTCCAGCAGACTAAAAGATCATACAATAGCCCCAACTAAGCGTCCGTAATGTCTGCAGCTGACTGTGTCCACATCTGCAGAGTGCAATCTATTAACAACACACTGAAACAAACTGGCAGGAGTTTTGTATCGAAAGGAAGGGAAGAAAGATGATATCAGCTGACCTTCAACAAAACATCCCTGCAACAGCTGAAGTCGTTTCTGCTGCTGCAGGAGGGTGAAGCTTTTACCTCTCAGATAAACATGACGTCTCCATACTTCTGTCCTCTCTTGGTCCTGGACCATCAAAGTCACTTCATCTGGGTCTGTAGTCAGGAAAACCTCAAATGTTGGGTGGAAATTTGGTCCAAAATGTGAGAAAAAGCTTGCTCTCTGAAAACCAGGACAAACACATCACTCTGACAGCAGAAATAAGCGTTAATCCACCCCTCCTTTACAGTGAATCTGTTTTCAATATGATTTTGTTCATGACCATGTGAGACTTCACTTACCAGGGGCTGTATTTTCAAGCCCTCCTGTTCACAGAGGACACTGTAACTCTGACCAGTGTTCAAAACACAGTCAGCTGAGATCGGGATGTATTCTGCTTTACCTTGTTGGGCAGCAACCTTCAAGAAAGAACACATTTATCATTGTGTGAATGAACAGGTAGCCAACTCTATTTATTTATAGAGGTATTGAAAACCTTCGATGTTGACCAAAGTTCTTTAGATGAGAATTACAGAATACATCTGATCAGCCCAGGAACCTTCCAGGGAGAGTGGAAAGAAAAAAAGAGAGCGGAAGTAGAGATTGAAAGTCTGCTGGTCATTGACAACCAGTTATGAGAGACCAGGGGCCTCATGTACAAAGATTTGCATGGATTTCATCCTGAAACCCGGCGAACGCTTCAATCCAGAAAACTGCGTACGCACAAAACAATCTGCTCACAAAAGTGAGCGTACACCTGAATCCAAGCACATTTCCTTTGTCCATCTCACTCAGCATGGAATTGACCGCACATGTTGGAGTACCAGACTCCTCCCTCTCCACACCCCCAATTTAAATTAGTATTAACAGGGCCAACAGGTGGGATTCCCCTCTCTGCAAGATCAGATAACAGTAACCGTAACAGTAACAAGGAGGAACTCATCGCGTTTGAGCAGAGAGTCTGTTGTGGGTGACGCTGCTCTCACAGGGGTGGTGGGAGTACACGTGGGTCACTCGGATCACCCCCAAGGTAAATATTTATGGTGTAACTCACAAATTTATTCATTATACGGGTCATACAATAATCTGCTCACAGACAAACAAGATACAGGTTCTTCCGTAATCATGCCAGGATATCAAAGAGGAAATCAAAGACTTTGTCTCATGTTTAATTACTCAATTTCTTATTTTCAAACAGATAATGAGGCAGGAGAAGACTGTGAGGCGCAGTCCCAGCCTCGTATCACAGACCCGCGGGATTCCTCCAGCCTCCCCGGCATCAGCCAATCCTCCGATCCACCGCAACAGCCAGCTGCTGATGCCCGCACATGCTTAATGCGTGTCAGAGGGATTAATATTAGGACAATTAAATGATTTACTCACCAAGAAGCCACCCATCCCGCACCGTGCCAGCTTGTAGCCTGTTTCCAACCATGCTGTTCATCAGAATGAATGAATCCTGGGTTGATCCAGGCCATCTCGCAACAATGGTACTTAAATGTATTTGCACGTCACAGATGATCTGTACATTAATTGAATAAAAATGCTTCCTGTTTACATAAACAAATTCTTCTTGTGATGGTGCCTTTATAGCAATGTGTGTGCAGTCGATAGCTCCGATTACATTTGGAAAACTGGCTCTCGCTGCAAATTGCACTTTTATGTCGCCCTGTTCAACTGCGCTGTATGGGAATTTGATATATCTGGCTGACTTTTGGATGGTTCCATCCCACACAGCTGGCATGGCTCGGCTCAGTGTTGACTGGCACAGTCCCGATTGGTCGGCCAGCTCCCTCTGAAATGACCCGGTGGCTAGGAAGCCCAGTGTGGTCAGCACCTGTGTGGGCACAGGTAGGACATGGCTCCTGGCTATGTTGCGCTCTAATAATGGCCGCAGCTTCGCATACAGTTCTAAGAGGATTGCCCTCGGGAACCTAAAGCGGCTGATGAGCCACTGAGGTCTCTGAAAGCCCTCTTCGCACTGCTCCATTGGCAATATCCTCCAACAGTGTCAAAGCTGCTATTGTTGTTAACGGTATCTTCTGCACCGTTTTACGCAAACTTTTATATCCACTCATCTGATTGCAAACACCTGGGTGTGTTAATTGTTCATCTGTGTATCTCTGATGTGCATATCACTTTGAGAAATTACCTTTTTTTACATTGTTTTTTACATTTTACATTCCCAGCATCACCTCTAAGTGTTGCCAACAGCTCAAAAGCAATAGAAACGTGCGTATGCCAGTCAGGAAGTTGACGTGGAGGACCGCACATTTCCACATTCATTTCACTCTTGATACATCTGAACGCAACTGTGGATAAGTGCGTATGCCAAGTTTTTGTGCGTAAGCACCCTTTGTACATGAGGCCCCAGGACACCAGTACAGGGGAGATATGGCAACTGGTAGCCACTGAAGACAGACTAGAACATCAGGTCAGAGGACATCAGCTCTGAAACATGGTGAAGCTCGGATGTGAGGGTTGACGGTTCAATTGTGACCGCAGCGTGAGATACACCTCTGTTCACTTTACCTGTTCCACAGGGATGTTTTTCTGCAGCAGAAACACATTAAGTGTCCAAGGCGCTCTCCCTGGAGGCCGGAGGAACAGCACCACTTGGCCACATACTGGGAGTGAGAGCGTTCTTTCAATAGTATTCCAGATGAGGCCGTATAGAGAGAGGTGAGCGACCTCCACAACCACATGAGTGTCAGTGATCTGCAGCGGCTTCAACATGCTCATTCCTTTGTTAGTGAAGTGGACAACAGACAGCTGGTTGTCCAGATGCAGCGTTGTGAGAGCACAGAGATGCTACAGTTACTCATCTCTGCCAAATTATTTTTAGTTCAACTGAATCTGTTGATATTAATTTCAGAACACATCGAGGATCTCCAGTTCACCATCATCCTGTCATTCATCTGTCTGGACAGGTGCATTTGGTTCTATAACTAAACTCCATCACAATCTTGTTTCACTGATTTTTACTAAATGCTCCGAATTGAACAATATACCAGAAATAATACAAACCTTAAGATAACGATTCATTGCTTAACAGCCAGAGAGCACACAGCTTACCATCCTCTGTCTCACAGTGTGGGAAGTGGAGCCGACGAACTGCATCCTCAGAACACTGAATGTTGAACAGCGGTCCTGCAGCCATCTTGCAGGCCAGTTTCAGGCAGCTCTCATCCCATTGAACGATCCTGTACCGCAGCTCTGCCCCTTTAGCCAGAGCAAACACCAGTCCAGTCTGAGTACACTGGAACACACCTGAGCCAGGACACCTGAACCTGCAGGACAAAGAAAGGCTGAAAATCCACAGCAAGCCTGAAAAACCCTGAAATGAAAATGTTTTTTTTTACTGCTGTTAAATGGTGTTCCTCAATCAGAATCCACTTATTTTATTCTCACAAATGTTCCTAATGCGACACTGTGTGACACTCCTACTCGGACCTAGCTCCTTTACCTGTGTCACACTAACCGTCTGACACGAGGGGGTCATCTGCTGATTCATGTCACTCAGCAAAAAAGGATATAAAAGTTGGTCCATGTGCTCACTCTCTCTCTCCATCCCCGCACAACAGTTTTTTTTTGTTTGCATCTTCAACAACTTCACAGCTCAGAGTACACATCCAAGCAAAACCAAAGCTGATAGCACTGACTTCCACACCCAAACGCTGCTTTATGTTAAACAGTTTTTTAAACGAATTATAAGGCGGGATCAAAAAGGTCAGAGACTGTGCCTTATAAAGATCTAAAACTGTACCAAATGTATACCTGGCCAAATCCCTGTCAAAGCAGTCTCCTTGTGCAGTGATGCGCTGCTCCCTGTGCTCTTGCAACATTTGTGACCTAGAGGTCCTATTCTATGAACATGTCAACATCTGTGATCTGAGTCTCCTGAACTGTGTCAAAACGGTGACCCATCCATCCATCCATTATCTATACACCGCTTAATCCTCACGAGGGTCGCGGGAGGGCTGGAGCCTAACCCAGCCGACTTAGGGCGAAGGCAGGGGACACCCTGGACAGGTCGCCAGTCTATCGCAGGGCTACACTTAGAGACAGACAACCAAGCACACTCACATTCACACCTGCGGACAATTTAGAATCACCAATTAACCTCAACATGTTTTTTTGGACTTGTGGGAGGAAGCCAGAGAACCCGGAGAGAACCCACGCTGCACGGGGAGAACACGCAAACTCCACGCAGAAAGATTCCGGTGCCCCCACCGGGACGCGAACCAGCAACCTTCTTGCTTCTTACTTGCCAACAGTGCTACCAACTGCGCCACCTTGCAGCCCAAAACGGTGACCCCTCAACCTGAATTATATTTTGGGGAAGAGAAAGAAGTCACAGAGAGCCAAATCAGGTGAAGAGGATGGGTGAAGAGTTGTGTTGCTCCTGTGGCCAAAAAACCCAGCGTCATCACAGCACATTCGAGCACCCACATGTACACACCAAAGGTATGACAGGCTGATTATGATCCAGAGGGCGAGCACGCCTGGAGTTGGTTCATGCAGCTGGACTTTGTGTTTTTGGTTTGTGCTTTCATAGCGATCTGATGCTTTTAAGTAGAACTATCATACATTCCATAAAATGTTCTGATTGCTATTGATAACGTGTCAATCACTGCACATTTTGGTAGTGTTTTTTTGCCAAGCGGATCAGTACCTCCAAGTCCGAGGTCATGGTCCTCTGCCGGAATCCGGTGGATTGCCACCTCTGGGTGGGGGGTGGGGGGGATTTGCTTCCTCAAACAAAAGAGTTTCAGTATCTCAGCATCTTGTTCACGAGGGACGGGAAAATGGAGCGCAAGGTGGACAGGCAGCTCGGTACAGCGTTAGCAGTAATGCGGATTCTGGGTCGTGATCAAAAGAACAAAACTGCGGATACAAGCGGCCGAAATGAGCTTCCTCCGCAGGGCTTATAGCTCTCGGCTGGCCTGGGAACACCTCAGGATCCCCCAGGATGAGCTGGAAAGTGTCGCCGGGGGAAGGGAAGTCTGCAACGTCATGCTCCACCTGCTGTTCCCGCGACCCAACCCCGGATAAGCGGAAGAAAATGGATGGATGGATGGATGGATGGATGGATGGATGGATGGCCAAGCTCCCCAGGGTCTGGGATTTCTTACCCAGTCTACTGCTGCCACAAATAGGCCATTCAAACCTTCACACAAAGGGACTAAACAGAGACAAAAGTCCAAGTCTCTCCACAAGGTGGAACCATGGAACACATCCCAAGATGTCAAAGGTTCCAAAGCACCTAGAGAGGAACACATAATCAAATCGTGTAAGGCCACCGTTCAGATGTGTCATCTTTAGTAGAGCTGGGAAAATGCCAATAGTGTGAGAGGAAGGATCTGCAGAACTCTGCAGGCAGCTCTATGATGCAGAGAGACGGCTGAAGCCCCA